ACACATCGATATTATTTCAGTAAAAAATTTTGAAATTGAGATTAATACTTGAACCATACCCCACCATATAATAAGCCACCTTTATTAATTCAGTGGGTTACAGCTTATTGAAGTGCACCGACACTAATGGCTTTAGCAAATTGAGACCTTAAACTGACATATATTTCTTCCGATCCTAAGTGTATGCATATTTAAATTAATATTAATTATTACTCCCTCCATTCCAAAAAAAAGTGTCATTTTAGAGTTTACACACAATTTAAGAAATACTAAAATAGGATAACTAAATTATTAGAATATCCTCAACCAACCCCATTAAAATAATGCTCACTAATAATATTATTTCTTTTGAGGGTATACTTGGAAATTTTTGACCAAAAATGCATTGAAATCTGAAAACGACACTTATTTTGAAATTTCTTCAATTTGCTAAAACGACACTTATTTTGGAACGGAAGGAGTACTTTGTATTCATCATTGGGATAGGAGAAGAATTCCAGAAATCTTTTCTATGTTCAAGAAAAATATTAAGAAATCATTTTCGTGATTCTTATCTCAAATTAAAGAATGAAGATTTATAAAAAAAAAAATAAAATAAAATAAAAAATAAAAAAAAACAAAGACAGACTTTCGATAAAAGTCCAATACTTCTTATCTGAAGTTACTTGTCTTAACTCTTAAGATGTTATTACGATGTCCCCTCATACTTTTCAATTAGAGCTGTCAATGAACCAAGTATTTCGCGAGCAGTTTGCAAATAGATTAGTCAAAGTTGTTGGGAAAGAGAAAAAAAAAATAGAGATTTTTGTAACGTAAAATTCTCTCAGAAAAAGATTGCATTTTATTTTATGAGAAGTCTAATTTATAGATAACTTTTTTTTTATTACAATGAAGGAGACAATATGCCTAAGGTGTTAGTTTAACACAAATCTATGGTACAAAACCCCGATAACATCATGGTCTAACAATAATTGAGTTCCTACCAGGTGCACCTGTAAAATCGTCAATGCACCAGGACCCTGAGCGGCTAATGTCGCCAAATAATCTGGTACACAATTTGCTTCGCGCCAAATATGTGTCACTTCTACTGACCATGGCCTTTATAATAATTCTCTGATGGCACGAACTAAACTATCATGGATCCCAGTTATATCATGATCATTCATCACCACCTGCAAAACACACTGGCTATCCACTTCTACCTTCCACTCTTGGTTCACCAAGCTTCCAAGCAAGATGTAAACTTTGAAAGAGACCCCATAATTCGATCCAGTAATAGTACAAAAGCTAATATTCATCACGAATCCTCCAATCCACTAACCACAATGGCCTCGAACCACACTACCAGCACTCGCTATTCCTGAATTGCGATCAAAGGCACTATCAGAATTGATTTTAACCCAATCAATCAGGGGCGGCGTCCAATGGATTAATTCACAAACCTGTCCTGGAGGAGCACCAACCACCACCCAATAATCAACTACACTTTGAATGCTAGGTACTTTTTTGTTCAACCTCAATCAGCCGCTGGGCAGCAGGAACTTTTTTCCAAGTGAAAGTGCGAAAGTTCCTCCATAGCCAAATATGCCAAACAGTTACCCCAAAAATACATTCCCAATTTTCTTAACATTTACTCCCCCAGTATTAGTTAAATTCAATAATGACCTTCTTTCAATTGCACACTGAAACAAATTAGGGTTAGCTACCGCTGGAAGGAGGCCATTCCAAGTTTGCCTGGCGTCTGGACAATCACGCAAGGCATGAGTTGTATCCTCTGGCATTCCCATACAAATATCACAATCAGAATTTGATGCTAAATGATGCCGACACCATTCGACATTTGTCAACAGACTCTCGTGCGGCGCCAACCATAAAAATTGACGGACCTTCTGCGGAACAATCCACCTCCAAATCACACACCATAATTAAAAAGAGAAGATCATTTTAAATTTCTAAAATATCTCTAAAACTCTACATTCAAATACTAAAAAATCTCCATAATCGATGAACCAAAATAATCTAGATATATCTTATCAACCTTGCATTGAACATTAGGTCTAAACCAATAATATTGCGGTAAATGAGAAGGTTTCTTACAGTGTTTATAAGGAGGATATTTTTCATTACTGTCACAGTCTCCATCTACCTTTCTATCCCACTTTTTACCTTTACCAGTTTCGTCCACTTTATAAACTCTCTCAATAACATCTACATTTTCCTTTCTGAAAACTCTCATTTGCTCTTGAGCTTCAAAGGTTGAAAGTAGTTCTGCTAAAGATCTTTTTGATAAATTTCTAGTTTTTTCAAGAGATGGAATCTTGGACTCAAATCTTTCTGGCAAAGTCACTAATTTGTTTTCAACAACTCGGCTATCAGGAAGTTGTTCTCCAAAAAAAGTCTGATTTTATTGACTACCTTCATCAATTGATTTGTGTTGTCCTTTAATGGCGCTGTCTCTGATATCTTTTGCATCTCAAATTCCCTTTTCAAATTCAACATTTCCATTCGCATTGTCTTAACATTGCCTTGATATTCTTGTTTCAGAATATTCCATGCCTGTTTAGCAGTCTCACTGGCCCTGATTTCTGCACGTCTCTTCTGATACATCAGAGAATACAAGCTTAGCCTTGTTCCTCCTCTTCTTAGCCTTTTTGAATTCCTTAATTTGTGCAGTTGTTAGATCTTCAGTAAGTGGTTGAAACAAATCATTTTTTACCAACTTCCATAATCCATTTGTTTCTAGATAGCCTTTCATTTCCACAGCAAATTTGATAATTTTCTTCTTTAAAAACTGGAAGAGCAGACGTTGAATTATTCCCTCCTTCCTTTAATAAAAGAAGATTGACTGATAAAAAAAATTTATTTGTGTATAAAGGTCCTCACCGATTCACTCATACATGTCCCTCAAATTGAACTTAAACTCTTGATACCACTTTGTTGGGAAAGAGAGAAAAAAAAAGGAGAGATTTTTAGAACGTAAAATTTTATCAGAAAAGGGTTGTATTTTATTTTGTGATAAATCTAATTTATAAACAATTCTACAATAACTAAAAAGAGAAGATCGCTCTTAAATTCTGGAATTTGGCCGGGATCCGGCCAGCGGCGGTCCGACTGTGGCAAGGGACAGTCCGTCGATAGTTGGTGGTGGTGGAGGTGGTCCGGTGGTGGTGAACAAAAATCGTGTAAAAATAATTTTTGGAATATTTTTTAAAAGGTAAATTAAAAAATTGTTTGGATAGTATGAGGATTTGTGTTTGAGAGGTGTTTTAAGAGATAAAATGAGACAAAATGGTAAAATGAGTGTTGTCCAAACAAGACCTACAATTTTCATATCTCAATTTGGTTGTATCATAAACAAGACACTAGAAATAAGAAAAGATTTTTGCGGGATTAGGGAAACTACAAATATGTGACAGCAATCGTTTTTTTTTTTTTTTTTGGAACACACAATCTACCAAAAAAAAAAAAGGTTTTTTTTAGCCCAAACAGATTTTTATATGTTCATTTTGAACATATCAATAACTATATTTGTTGGCTAACTTCTACTTTTGTGGTGATTTTTTATAACAAAATATCATTTCTTTTGTTAATTACATAATAATATTAAGTCCAGAGCAATAGTTATGTAACAAAATATTATTCTTTTGAATAATTTTTTTTAATTTAACTATCTTAAAATATTAGAATTGTCCGAGCATTCGCCGAGACCAAGCATCTAGTTGTCAATTTAAGGTAAATATGTAACCAACTTCAATCTTCACGCTACTTCTCCTCATTATGTCCACGTAGTTTCATTCCAATTCTCCCAAATCCGCATATCTTTGATAAATATAATACTTTCTCTGTTTAAAAAAATAATCCCTTTTACCCTATTAAAGCAGAAGACATGAAGCTTATGTGGCAACTACGTATGTATCTGTTTTGGTTCCAATGCACCATATTTCAGATTTCAGAAGTCTTTTTGCCACGTGTAAGTCTCTTTTAATTAGAAGCTATATAATTTTTTTTAAAAAAAAAAAACACATGTTTTACTACAAATAAGGATCAGTTAGATTTCAAACGAATGGATATATTAATTCAAATTCAAATGTCCAATCGTATAGTTTTGCAGGCTTAATATAAACAAAAATAAAAATACCTAAATCCAGCAATTAAGAATAATGCCTTATAAACTAATTATTTATTATTCCCTTATAACCTCAGATTTATAGGTACTCCCTCCGTCCTGTAATTATTGTCCACTTTGTCTAAAAAATTTTGTCCCAAAATTATTGTCCAATTTGACTTTTTATGGATCAAGTTACACATTTGTCCTTAATAAAAAACATTATCCATAAAATCTTAGTGATTAAACAATTACTTATGTAGGGGTATATCTGGTTGTTTAAGGTAAAATATAATTAAGTTTGACAAAAAATAAAATCTTTGATTTTAGTAAAACTGGACAATAATTATGGGACGGAGGGAGTATATTTTTTTTAAGCCCCAAACCATAACATAAATGATATATACGCCAAATTAATTCCTCAAAAAATAGTAATTCAATTAGATTTTAATAAAATAATAATTTAGAAGGGGCGCCCGAGCATCTGTCCGGGCCAAGCATCTAGTTTACAATTAATTTTCGAATCTACATTAAACACAATAAAAATTCAAATTTTAATGTGAACTAATTTTCTTTCGGGAGAGAGAGTAAAATACAGTAGGATCAAAAGTAACAGAAAGCTAATCATTAAATTATTAAATTATCATTAAATTGATTGATCTCCTTTTGGGTTTGGCCTACCTCATCGAGTAGTAGTACTGCTATATCATTAAATTATTCGTAAAAGGGACTTATAAAATTGAGGCCCTTCCCAGTTCCAGTATGATCAATATCATCAGCTTACTACTTGTCTCTCCTTATTTGGCAAAACCACGTTTTAGTCCTTCTTTCTTTGTAAAACAAAAAAAGGAAAAATATGAAGCCGACACACTCTCTAATCGTTTCTGGTCTTCAGTACTCCTCTTGGCATTATTGCTTCATCCTTTAATGTAAGTTTCTTCATTTACCATTATGCTCTTTTCTTTTTCTCCACATTTAACGTCTATATATACATATAGACAGTTCACTTGCATCCACAATTTTTCCTTGATTTTTGTCTTAGAGATTGCATTAGTTAGTTTGTATGGTGTAGACAATGGAAACAAAAAGAAAATTTTTAGGTATAAACGAGGAGAGGAAATGCCTAATATAATAGTATTTTTTATGTTGCAAACTAAATAAGGTATAGGTAACAAGTGAAATTTGTTAAACAAATGCTGAAATAAAAGTTCCGCCAAAGTTTTAATCATACTAATTCGTTTACAGCGAACCATAAATAATCTTGATCTTGGCATAACTAATCAATTCCATTCAAAGATTTATCGTAATAACACTTATTGTTTGGAGGAAAGAGTGTAGATTGTGAATTGTGCAGTCACATCTTTTTAGCGATTATTGTGATTTGTGACTGCTGCAAAATAGTAACTTGTCTTAAAAAAAATTACATTATCAATCTAATGTAATCAACTTCAATCGTTACGTTACCTCTCCGCATTATTTCCACGTAGTTTCATTTCAATTCCCCCAAATCCGCATATCCTTTGATAAATTACTACATACAGTAAGATCAAAAGCGACAGAAAGCTAAATGATTGATCTCCTTTTGGCCTACCTCATCAAATAGTAGTGTACTAAATCATTAAATTATTCGTAAAAGGAATTATAAAAATGAGGCTCTTTCCCAGTTCCAAGCATCTCTCCTTCTTTCGGAAAACCACGGTTTACTCCTTTCTTTGTAAAACAAAAAAAGGAAAAATATGATGCCGACACAATCTAATCGTTTCTGGTCTTCACTACTCCTCTTGGCTATTATTGCTTCATCCTTTAATGTAAGTTTCTTCTTTTTATTATTATGCTCTCTTTTTATTCCTGCACATTTAACTTCTATATATATATATAGACAGTTCACTTGCATTTCCCATTTTCCCATGATTTTGTCATAGAGATTGCATTAGTTATAGTTTATATAACGTAGACAATGAATATTAAAAGAAAATTTGTAGGTACAAGGAATGATATTTTTCTATCCCAAATATCCCAAAATAAATCTCAAAACTAAATATAAACTATAACTAATGCAAATTGGCGTGGGGCTGGGGCCTGGCCAGTGCTTATCTTAGCCGGTAAGACCAGGCAAACAGACGAGCAAGGAAACCAGGCCGGAATCCAAACCACCACCCTGGCTGATACCATTCATCCGGGAGCTATGCCTTGTCAGCCAGCTACAGGATCAAAATCTCTATCCATCCTTAATTAAAATATCAATAATCGAGATGCATGGAAAAGTTTCACCCAACTCTCAAGCCTCATCTGAATTCACAACTTATTGTGCATCATGTGGCCTCTTTTCCCTAAAACAATTCATCATAGCGGTACTTTTCCAGCCCAATGCACTTATTGTTGAGTTTTCCGATGAACTCGGGATTGGAACCAATCTCAAATCATCGTATTTTAATTAAAAGAGAAGAAGGAGATAGAGCTTCCATGTATAATTTATGTAAACAAAAGCCAAATGTTTGATTCAGACAAAGGATTTACTCAGACATTGTCTGAGTACTTCAAACTATAAATTAAAACAAACTTAAAAGAAAATATTACCTTTAAAGGCTTCTTCAATGCTTCAAACTTGAAAGATATATTTTCTAAATGATGTTTTTACAAGGGAGAGAGAGAATTTCGGGATAAAGGGAGAAGAAATGAGAGAATGCTTGGAGAGAATGATACCCTCCACAAGAACTTCTACATTCTATTTATAGACAAAATGCCTAACTACTATTCTACAAAAGTTAAAACTACTTTTGTACAAAAATTATTAACTTTTGTCATTATTTGACATGGTTTTCTTCAGATTTGACTGAAGGTGGTGGTCTATTTGTACAAAATTTCAAAAGTAGATTCCTACTTTTCTCAAAATTTCAAAAGTAGATTCCTACTTTTGTCACTTCATTCTTTTTCTTTTCCTTTTCTTGATTGAGTGATTCTTGGATCTCTGTAATGCATTTTTGATGAATTCATCGTGATCGTCATCTTTTCTCGGTGACCGAGATTCTCCGCCAATATTGCAAACGAATTTTCTTCATTTGAAGTTATGCTCTTCATCGAAACATCGATTTTTCGAAATATTATCATTGTCGAGATTCTTTAAATTTCTCATGAGATCTGCTTTAACTTCTTTCATATAGGCGATATTATTTCTTCCTTATTAATTGCTCCTTCTTGAAGTGAATCCGTTTTGTGATATGTTTAAACGGACTTTCTTCATCCGGGTTTGCTTTGAGTCTGTCCTTTTCTTGAGTATATTCCTTGATTTTCTGGGCAATTTCGTCCAAAGAAATCTTGTCCTTCTATTCTTTTGGTATTGTGATTCACCTTTGTTAATTTGTCCCAAAATTTGGTGTAATATGTCTTATAAAGACACGGAATTTGAAATTCATTGAATCCCACCTCGGGGACCCATTTATAAATCCAAGGAATTGAGAATTCAATAAAGAAGTATAACAGAGTGATTTTCCCCGGAGCACGAGATATGATCGTGTTGAAGTTTATCAATGATAGGAGAGGATTTTAACCATTGATAATATAATTTCGAAAAATTATCGGCAAAATTTTTGCTTTGTTGGGCCATATAATGCCCACCACCGAATAAACCAGTTGGGTATGGGAGAAGAATATACATGGGAGCATATTTTTATGAACCAAGTATGCTTTTTCCGGGGTTTTCATAATAAAAGTTTTGTAAAAACTTTGGATATAATCCCATAAGTAAATTTCAAAGGAGGAGAAGTAGGAGTATTACGTACTTCTCTTTCGAAAGGGTTGAAATTCCCATTCTTCAAAAGATAAAATCTTTTTGATAATAATTTTTGAGAAGTTATAAACTTCGATTGTAGTCGATTAGACCGAAAATGTGTTATTTCACATGTTTGTTTGAGAATATTCTCATAATAATTTCGGGTTTGTATGACTCACCCGGTATTGTTACCCTTTCGCTAGATATCTCCGGAATATTACCCATGGATCATCTTTCCACCGAATATCGCGTTTTCAAGAAGGAATATTACCTCCTTTGTGGATCCTTTTTCATATGACCGGATATCATCCTGGTCGGTATCATTTACTTTGGCAGACAAGGTATCACTTTGTTGCTCTTGGATTTGGTCCATAATCTGCTTATATAATGCGAATCTTTCGAATAAAATCCATTATTTGGACCAATTTCGCATTTGATGAGGAGGATTCCTCCTGAGATTTTGAAAAATCAGCAGCTATTAGCTTTTATTCCCATGTTGTATTACGGGGTTTATTGTTCTTCCTCCACGACCTCTATAAGGGCCGCGTCCTCGATCTGGTGGATACATAATCCTGAAAATTAGAGAATTATTAATGATAATTTGGCTTTACAATAATTCAACTTTTCTTCACTTTCGTTAATCTTCCAAAGTGAAGTCTTCTATCATGTCATAGACAAATTCAAGGTCTTCTGAAACAGATATTATCTGTTGTGGTGAAGTAGATTCATCAGCACAATCAAGAATTGTATTACGAACTCGTAAAAAGTGATTTAGTCTATGCTTCGCAAAAATATATTTCGTTCTACAATGCCTATATTCAGCAACAATCTTATTATACGCAATATGTATTACGGATAGTGGGTTAAGATAATCAATTTGTGGCCACTCCATCCTGCAAATATTCACGTGATAAAAAATCAGGTAAGAAATTATCACTACCTTTTTTATATAAAATTTCAAAATCAAAAGGGGCTAAATTAGCCTGCCATCGAGCATATATTTGCTTTCAAGAATCATGCTTATAATCTTTATAAATCATGTGTTTAACAGCAAGTGCATCAGTATGAATGACAAACGACTGATTAAATAAATCATCTTGGAATTTTAATACACATTTTACAATAGCAAGAAATTCTTGTGCAACAATGCATATTTCTTTTGAGGTTCGTCCATTTACCGAATGATATCTAATAAGATATTCATTATTATCATGAGGGTTAATCTGTTTCAAGATTCCACCGAATCCTATGCTACTAGCATCGTTTCTATTATCTTTTTCCAATTTGGATTTGCTAATGTTAAACATGGTAGAGTTTTTACCTTTTCTTTTATTTGCTTAACTAATTGAGTATGCTTTTCTGTCCAATCAAATTTAATTGATTTTTAAGCAAATCATACAAATTGCTAAATCTTTCGTAAATTCTTATAGTATGGTGAAATATAATTTAAACTTCCTAGAAATCTCGGAGTTGAATTTTCTCAGTAAAAACATCAGAAATTTAGAAGAAAATTCAATTGATCGTTGAATAGGGTTATTTTCCCTTGACTTATTTGATGACCAAGAAATCTTATACTATGTTGAAACAAAAGCATCTTTGGTTTAGATATTACTAAGCCATTTCGTAAAATAACATCCTTTAATATATTAAGATGTTTAAAATGTTGTTCAATATTATCAGAAAATACTAAGATATCATCAATGTAAACAATTATAAAATCCATATAATGAATAAATATATCATTCATGATTTTCTGAAATTCAGAAGGAGCATTTTTTAATCCGAATGGCATCACATTCCATTCAAATTGTCCTATAGGCACATTAAAGGCAGTTCTATAAGTATGCTCAGGATTTATTTGAATTTGCCAATATCCAGATTTTAAATCGAATTTAGAAAATATGTTGGCATTATATAATTTTGATAATAAATCTTTTTTATTAGGTATAGGATATCTTATCCATTTTAAAACTTTATTAAGTGGCTTATAGTTTATTACTAATCTTGGGACGCCACGTTCTTTTTCAGCTGCATTATTAACATAAAATGCAGTACATGACCAGGGAGATTGTGAAGGTTTTATTAAACCCTTTTGAAGCAAAGAATGTAATTCTTCTTTACATAAATTCATATATACAGAATTCATTTGACATGGTCTTACTTTGGTAGGAATATCCTTTTCATTAAAATTATCTTCATAAGGAAGATTAACTAAATGTTTCTTTCTATTCCAAAAAGCATTTGGGTGATCAGCACATACTGATTCTTGAAATTGTATTGTAATATGTTTTATTTTTTCTTGTAATTTAGTATTACTCAATAATTCAGGTATTGATAAATTCATAATTTCATTTTTAATGAAAAATAATTGTTTTTCTTTAGCTTCTATTAATGACCTAATAGACCTTGTTATAGGGTCTGAGACAAACTGGAAATTTATTGATTTATCTTTATAGGTTCCTGTAAAACCTTAAAAATTAACTTCTTTAAGTGGATATAACATACATAAAAATGGAAGTCCTAATATAATAGGCACTCCTGGCATATTTCTTACTAATAAAAATGTTTGTGGAAGACAAATATTATCTTGACAAACAAAAGCATTAGGCAATTTATATGAGATATCTAATGTATGATTAGATGCGGATTTTAATGCATGCGAGGTTTTTTCAAAATATTGCGTAGGTATTAACCCTTCTTGAACACAAGACAAATCAGCACCACTATCAATCATTGCAACAGTGTTTAAGACAAATTGTCTATCTATCATTAGAGTTAATTTTATATACCATCTTTGAGATGTAATTATTTGTATTGTTTTTAGGAATTCATAATTATGATCTTCAGATATATTTTCAGCTAAATTCTGAATAGTTTGTGGATCAACTATAGAGGTTTCAGCTGATTGTGAATTCTCAATTGTTTTAATCCTTTTTTCTAATAATTCGTTATTTTGTTTCAAATATTTTATTTCATTCTTTATGTTATGAACTTCTATTTGTAAGTCTGAAATAGTTATAATCGAAGAAGATGACTCTTCTTTATTTAGTAATTTTTTCATTCTTTTTTCTATTTCCTGCATTGAATAAGGATTATTATTTAAAACTATATCCTTTTTATTATCTTCCTTTTCTTTTTTATGAGACACATCAATCATTTTAATTATTTTATCACGAATATCATGATCTGGTATTTGTTTTAGTAATTCTAAAACATTATCGTTGTTAACATGTTAAATTGTAAATCTTGAAATTGAGATATAATATTGTAAAGACTATTATCCTTACAACAATCATTATTATTATTATTTTGACATGGAAGACATTCATCCGAAGAACTAGATGAATATTCATCATTTTCAAGCATATTATTTTCCGAGCTATTAGTTTCTTACTTTTGGACTCGATATCGATTCTTCTATTACTTTGCATATTTGTTCTTTAAGTTGTTCATCTATTTCTAATAATCTAATTCTATTAATCTTTTTACAATTAGGGCAATATGACCCTTTTGACCACATTTGAAACATTTTATGTCTCTTTTATTTTTCTATTAATTTTTCTAAATTCTCTTTGTTCTTTTGTTCTTTTACGTCGTCGTTTTCCTTTAGGTATATAAGGAATTTTATTTTTCTTCATTCTTTTATCCCTATTTTCTGGCCCAATATCCATAGCAAATTGATCACAGAACTGACCTAATTGTCTTCGTTCTGATAATTGTTGTCTTTTAATTTGTTGATAACTTTATTTCATTACATAAAGCTAATCCTTCTTGTGTACAAACACCTATTAAATGACCATAAGTATAATCATCATAAGGAATGTAAGGAAAATCTTTCCTAAGAACTTTTCTTATTCGTTCAAAGAAACGAGTTGGTAAGCCATCTATAAATTTAGCTTTCCAATAAGAGCTATTACTTTACGGTAATTCCATGACTCTTGATAAGAATGAATCTTTATACCATCTAAAAGAAGTAAGTGTTTTACACTTAAAATTATTCAACAATGTTCGAATATTTTCTTGATTATTAGTAAATTTTCCAGAAAAATGTTGTAATATGGATGCTATCAAAGTATATACTGCATCTTCCATCATAATGGGTGTAGATGTTCCTTCATTCTCAATTTTTACTGTATTATAAATTTTTTGTCTATCATTTTCAGTTAAATAATTATCCCACCATCCTTTAAGGACACCAGTAAAACCACAAACAATCATTTTTGCGATTGCCTGATCTGTATTACCATTTGCTTTTGCAACTGAGGAGTACATTAACATCCTATGCACCATATTAGTTAATTGCCTATCAGTAAATGCGTCACAATTCCATTCATAAACAGAACGACTACTATAACTATTAGTAGTTTCTTCATGTTCTTCATAAAGAAGATCTTGTGGAGAAGGTCGAGGGTAATAATAATGATTCATATATGGTTTATTAGCAAATTTATTATGTCTAGATTTATTAGAAAGACGATTTATTTCATCTCGTAGAGTTTTATCAAAATCTTTCTGTATATTCTCAGAAAATTCTAAAGTGGATAATTTAAGGTTTTTAAATTTTTCTTCCAATAATTTTTCTAAGACATGTGGAGATTCAAGATTATAATCTTTTACTATAGGAGGAGGTTGTATAAAATTTTGTATTTTAATATCCTTATTTTTGTTTTCAATCAAAACTGGTTTAACTGTTTGTTGAAGATTATTTATAAGAGAAAATAATTTGTCAACTTTATCATGTAAAGAATTAATTTGTTCTCCTAAAATTTTTACATATAAATTTGTATAATTATTTTGCTGAATAAATTTATTTACTAAAGAAACAGTAGAAGGTAAAACTTCACTTTCAACCAATTTTTGAAAGGCAGAAAAAGTTATATGAGTTGCATTTGTTAAAACAAATTCTTTTTGGGGAGGGTAAATTCCTTTTGTAATTTTTCCATCTGCAAGATGATATTCTCTTTCGAGGAGGAAAATATATTTATCAAGATAAGTGATTATAAACCACGGGACAAAATATATTATTCGATTGTGAAAAGAAGCATATTCATAAAATTCTTTTTGTATAATTTTTTGATTTTCAATATCATAAGTAGAAAAGAACCATTCTCTGAAAAGTTTCCACTTTTAAGATTGAAATTCTTGTCTTATTATTTGTCTAATATTAGATCCTGGACTAAAATCTAATTTTTCAGTATTCGCCATGATAACCCATTTCAGAAGGTGAAGGCATATCCTTATCAAATGTCTTACTATCAATGGACCGAACAATATTATATGGATCAATTTTTACTTGATTTATTCTATTTGTTATATCTATTTCAGAATCGAAGATGTCGAAAATTTATGAGAATCGATTGGATCTATATAAGATTTAAAAGATCTTTGAGAGATGGATCTTAATAATTTAGGAATTTTTGGTTTATCAAAGTAATACTTATCGACCATTATCGATTGTTCAATTTCGTAACATTACTACTTGTAACATTATGAGTTAATGAGTTTCTTTTAATTCCTTTATCAATTTGCCAAGACTCTGGAAATTCAATTTCTTCCCATTTTATAGTTTTACGAGTACTAATTTGAGATTTATAAAAATTAGTTTCTATCAATATGGTTTCATCGATGGTTTACTTATAATCTTACATCCGGGTGTTAAGGTATTTAATAATTTAAAACAAATACGGTAATGTAAACAAATAAGTTCACTTCCCGGTAAATAATTGTAACCATGTAATTTCACATTTAAGGTTAAAGCATCGAGTATATTAACATCAGATAATGATAGTTGTAAATTTGGGTAGACATTAAAATAAACTGGACCATGAGCTAGGCTGGACTGTATTATGCCCATTAGGGATTTTTTCCAATGTAAATTTCTACCATCACGTAAGGCAAGAACAAAAGATTCGAGTAAACCTTCTAAAGTTAAAGGTTTAAATGCAATTTGCACCAATCCAATATGCATGAACTTATAATTTTTATGAGATCTATAAGATTCAATATCTGTAGCAGACAAAAGTTGTAAAACCCTTTCATCAGAATTTAAAGCAATTGATTGTTCAGTAGTTTTAACTACCTGTTTAACTAAGTATCGATCAAACATACCATATTCATACAGCAATTGATTGTTCAGTAGTTTTAACTACCTGTTTAACTAAGTATCGATCAAACATACCATATTCATACAAAGTATTAGTGGGTACAAGGAATGATATTTTTCTATCCCAAATATCCCAAAATAAATCTCAAAACTAAATATAAAATATTTTATGTTTAGAGCAAGGAGTAAATTAATGTGTACCTGAGTAACTTTCACTAGGAAGTGGTGTTCTAACTAGATAGATTTTAATTTTAGTATTCGGTGACAAACTACAGTAGACGAGTTCGTTTATTATTTAGTTAAAGTATTCTTTCCATTTCAAAATTATTGTTTAGTTTGGATTTTTCTTTTTAATACAAATTTAACTAAAAGTAAACCTCAAATTGGACAATAATTTTAGGACATAGACTATTTAAATAGTGTCAAACCGGCTAACCGAGTGTCAATCAAGCTAATCTTCATAGCATCAAACAATCGCAGGTGGGTTTAGCGGCAGCGGGAACAGAGACTGGCCGGAATTTGGCCGGAAACAGCCCATTCACGGCCAAAGCTTCATTGATTCGCTACTGGAAAAAGAAAGTCTCCACTGATTTGCCAAGTTCCTTTTTCCTTAACAAAGCTTCCCCCTTGGACGCCTTGGAATTGGCCAAGTTTTCAGAACTCGCTGGTCAACAGTCACTCTCGGCTCAGCTCCCCAGCTTTTGCAAAGCCGCAGATCTGTTTTGCTTCCCGGATGCGGCCACAAGTCTCGCAAAGCACACCAAAGATGTCAATTTCGCCGAGTACAAGTTCCAGAATTTCACCAATTACGGCACCGGTCGTCACGGCGGCATTGACGCTTTCAAAAACTACACCAACAACGAAACCTTCCCAGACGACACTTCCGGCGCTACAGCCGTGACTCCGCCGGACACGACGATCAGTTCACCAATTACGCCGTCGGCTCCGTTATAGCCCGCGACGCCTTCAATTCGTACGGCAGAGAATCCACCGGCAGCACCGGAGACTTCAACAACTACCAAGATGGTACCACCATTGTGGCCCTCAACTTCACATCCTACTCCGACAGCACAGATGGCCGGAAACAGGATTTCACAAGTTACGCAACAAATGCAACTGTTGGGGACGAAGGCTTTTCCAGCTACGGCAAAAACGGTAACGGAGCAAACAATGAATTCACCACTTACGGAAACAATGTCTCCAGCTTCACTTCCACTTTCAACAATTACGACGAATCTAGCAAATTGGTAACGCTAATTTTACGTCCTATGGGCTCGATGAACGCATCCCTGAAAACGATTTCAACAATTACGCAAACGACGGCAATGGTACGACGGAAACATTCACAAGTTACGGCCGCGACGGGAATATCCCACTGAATAATTTCAACACTTATGGGTCTGGAGGAAATGGAATTACTCAGAAATTCGCCAATTACCGCGATCTTGATACCTTAGGTGACAATCGATTCCGATCCTACGGAGAGGACTCGAAAACGGAGTCTCTGGGTTTCACGAATTACGGCCGATCATTCATAACTGATACATTCAGGGAGTATGGAAAAGGTTCCAAAGTCAAGAATGTGGATTTCAATACATATGGAGTTGGAAACACTTTTGTGGAATACACAAAAACAGGGGTCACATTCTCCAATTATCAGAACGAAACGGAAACTCCTTTGGCTTCCAGGAAGACAACCAAGAAGATGAACATCCGGCGGGTTGAAGCGGGGAAATTCTTCAGGGAGAAGATGTTGAGAACCGGGACCCTGATGCCAATGCCGGACATCAAGGATAAGATGCCGAAAAGATCCTTCCTTCCAAGAACAATTCTGTCGAAAATACCGTTTTCGACCAAGAAGATTGATCAATTGAAGAAGATTTTCCATGCCTCTGATGACTCCAGCATGACCAAGATGTTAGGGGATGCTTTAGCGGAATGCGAGAGAGCTCCGAGCCCCGGGGAGACGAAGCGGTGCGCCGGCAGCGGGGAAGATATGATTGATTTCGCGACGTCGGTGCTCGGAAGGAACATCGCCGTTCGGAGTACTGAGAACACTCAGGGATCAGGTGGAAACATCATGATCGGAAAAGTTACCGGGATCGATGGCGGACGGATCACGAAATCAGTGTCTTGCCATCAGAGTTTGTACCCATATTTGCTGTATTACTGTCATTCGGTCCCGAAGGTTCGGGTATACGAAGCGGATATACTTGACCCGAACTCGAAGGTGAAGATTAATCATGGAGTTGCTATCTGTCACATTGATACATCCAGTTGGAGTCCAAACCATGGAGCATTTCTCGCTCTTGGTCCGGGTCCGGGTAAAATCGAGGTTTGTCACTGGATCTTTGAGAATGATATGACATGGACCATATCTGATTGAGTTTTGTTTTTCCCTATGTTGTTATTTACCTTGCTTTTCTCTTTGAATAAAGAATGTAATAAAATTGCAAGTCTCTTCACGTATTATAGTTTTACCTTTGGAATTTTATTACATTGCATTATTGCAATGCAAGTATGTATATTAAATTAAAATACTTACAATTAGTTCTAGCCATTAAACGCATTTCAAATTGGCTTTTTGGTATATTACGATATTTTTTGGTATTATAAATTATTACTCTGACTAATCTAAATTTGAACCGATAAGTCCCATCTAGAAAACAAAATCCCTTAAAATCAAATATGAATTAAACACGATTGTCTCGGTTCCACTCCTTGAAGAGGTCTCGAACCTTCATGCTCTTCCATGCTCTTTAGCACGTGATTTTTGCATGAATCATATTCCATGAATATGATATCTATCTAGTGTGATGTATGAAATATAGGACAAAAGGTAGAGTGCTTTTATTGATCGGACATATCATTATCATATAGGCTCGAGTTAGATATCCAATTGATTCGATTTGAATTATCCAAAAAATGCCTTAACTATATCAAAAAGATGGACAATCAAACCCATTTCTCGATTCAATAGAAGCTCAAAAGGGTGAAAATAGAGTCCCATATGAAGAGAGATGTGTAAAAAGTAGGTCCGATTACGCCTATGCCTAATCCTAAATAGAATAGAACGATGTAAGGATTCATATGTAAATAAGGTATCTATTTTATAATATGCTCGAATGACCCCTTCTCATAATGAGAATGCATAGAACTCTATTCTGGCCTGGTCCGGTATGGAATGAACTTATAATCATGGAATCGACTCGATCATCCGATAATAAATTCATTACCCTAGCCCATTCCTATTTGGGCGGAATAGGTCTACTAATTCTTTGATTCTAGTTAGTAAGAGCGATCCTAAATTAAGAAATAGACCACAGAAGCTAAAAAAGGTCTTCTAAGCAATTGCAATAATCGAGTTCATTGAAATTCCTGGTATAGTAGATACTATTACATATACAATCATACTCAATTCGATGTAATTGTTTGATCTTAAAGGAGATTTTCTATAATTTCGCACGTGGGGGGTTATTTTTTGGTTTCGTCCCGTTAATTTTGAATAGAATGAAATTTTGGTCAAAGGTTACAACAACTTGCATGTAATACGGAAGTTAATTTTAATTTAAAATTAACTAGGTTCTTGAAGTTTTGATCTCAAGCTTTGGTATTAACAAATTATATTCATTGTCACAAAAGTTTAAACAGAGAAAGATAATTCCTCAAATGCGTTATATTATTGTGCAGGCTTATATAAAATATAAATTAATTGAAAATTTTGTACCAGATATATTAATAATGATATACTACCTATATTCCAAAAAAAAAAAATCACATTTCGTTTAGAAATTTGTGTTATTTTAAGTATAAATCTTAATTCTCAATGTGGAAAATTTTTATAGGTCAGGAGTATTTGTTATAAAATTTATTGTGAAGATAGAAATTGTATCAAGTTAGATTAAAATGTAAAAAGGCAGATGGTACTTATATTTTTGAAATCCTCACTAATTATTATTGATAATAATAACATCTAATTTTTCAAAACTGGAAATTATTCATATGGCCAATTATTTAACAGATATTTTGAACGAGTTAAAATATTGTTATACATAAAATCAACTTTAAAGTATTTGTTCATTATTATATATATGTCGTAGTAGTTTACTTTTTTCTAAAAGGAAATTTGGGCAATTTTATGACAAAATTAATTAAAAAAAAGTCGAAAATTTAGACATAGTTTAGATAGTTGACAATTCATTCAACTTTTTTTTTAAATTTTTCATGTACGATATCATCATTACTTTTAACTATAAGACATGATTCAGCAACGCAAAGGCCCACATTTTAACCCACTAAGTTATTTAGAAGTTTAAAAGAGATGCAAAGTGCTTTTGAATCTGCCATTTGGCGCATGTCGGCCACCGCTTAAAATTTTGAAAGCTCACCGTTTTCCTCGTTTTATCCGAATTCTTCTTTCCAAATTCACTTCATCTGATTTCTTCTAAGTCATATAAATTTTTTTCCTCTACCACACTTGAATTGGAAGGTTAGTTTGATTTGTTTAGGGATTTTTTTTTCTTCATTTGCCCATTTAATTCACTGTAACACATTTCCTACGAGTAGAAACTTACTGCCAATCCCCATTTCCAGCTGCGGTATTTACACCCAAGTTGTGTGAAAGAATCCGGTGGAATTGGGTTGTGCTCAAGCTCAGTGTGTCAAGGAGCATTCTAGCTTGACTGTTTGTTTCTATAATCCGCCTGGAAATGTGGTCGGGGAGAAACCTTATTGGTCTCATCGATATCTTTCTTGTTCTGTGCTTTTGATTAGCCATTAGATTTAGAGTTACGTTGCATATGTAATTTGGTTCCTTTTAATGGGGTCTTACATCGGCTCAGTGCTCAGAATTCAGATAACATTGAATTTATAGAAACTTTAACATAGAATTTTTAGTAAAAGAAGGTGTAAAGGAAATGGCTTTGGTAAAGGAATTTTTAGGCATTCTAGAATTCATTTCACCAATTTCAGTATGAAAAGGCTTTACCTGCTATAGGCAAGAAAATTTCTGAGCTGGAAGAGGAAGCTGTAAAGCTCGATTCTTCAGGAGAGGCTGAAGTTGCTGAATTTCATATTAAAGCAAGAATTGAGAGAGCTTGAGAAGAAATTGATGGTCGAAATATTACAACCAGAAAGGGTTCTTCATTTCCTTCAGCCCGGCAGTCTGGTATGTAGGGATATTTATCCTTCTAGCCTTAGGCTTATTGTTGAATTTTGTTGTTCATACGTACCTCATTCTTGCTCGTGCTTCAAATCAATTTGTTATTATGATTGTTAACATAGTCAGTAAGCTTGAATTTTGTACTTTTGCACTTAGTAGTTGTATCTTAGTTATTTTAGAACTTAAATGGTAGTATATCTGGACTTCAGTTTGTCCGTCAGAATATAGAAGTAAAGTTACCACCTTTTTTTTCAATATTTTCACCTATAATGGTTAATTGTTTATGAAATGGAAATGGCTTTGTTACCTTTCCTCGAGTTGATGAAGGTTCTTTGTTTGCAAAAGTTGAACTGGGTTTGAATTCGACTACACCCAGTGTTGGAGCCACCGTAGTTCAAGTTTCCCCGATTTCGTATGACACCCTTGCTACTCTAGGTCAGTTTGATTTTTTAATTTTGTTGCATTTGTGATCCTGTTCTTAATTTTGTTGAATTTTGCTGTATTTTGGTCATGTTCTTAAGTTCAGTTGCACAGGTTTGGTCTCAAACTTTAGTATTAAAAACTTATATTCATTGCCACCAAAGTCTGGATAGAGGAGAAAAGTATTTTGTTAAATGTGTTAGGTTATAGTCCGGGCCTATATGAAAATTTATCCGAAGTTGCATTCCAAGAATTAGACTTAGAATTCTCCTCTCCAATTTCCAAATTCTTCATCGAAGGTTTCTTCTAGTCATATAATTATCCTTTTCAGATTCATAAAGGCTTTTACGGTGTGAAATTAGACCTTGAATCACATGTTTGTTCACGGTTTGATCTTTTGTGCTTTCCTTTTAAATTCTCCTTCAGTGTGCGTTCCAGATGCTTTGCCATGACCTCAATCTATTAAATGGATTACTATAACTTATGCAAATAGCTGTGATTAAAATGAATATATGACTTTATTTTAAATGTAGGAACTTCCTCTAGATGAAAAAAGAGGCTTGTCATAAATTTTACTTGCTGGCTGACTGCTGTTGATTTCATTAGGCAGTCTTTTAGTAGGACGGGTCTCAGAAGTTTAAGAAATAATTTGAGTTGTTAATGAAAAAAAGTATCTGATGTAGGTTTAGGGAAAACTACATACAGAATAGTGTCATAGAAAGATGAGCTGATGCAGAGTAGAAGAAGAGAAACACATTTATATAACAGGCTGGAGTATGAGTATGATAATATCTGATGCTCTCATCTTATCAAACTAAGTTGAACTTGCAGAGAACATGGTGTGAGGGAAAGTACATCCAAGATAAAGATCTTCAGTAAAAACTTTCAGGTTTGTGCTGATTTAACTAATTTTCTTTTATCCTGGACTGTGGATGGATCAGATTTTGTGCTTCAACTGTATTTCTGAAGAGATCTACAGAGGCGGGAGTTTGTACTTTAGTTTTAGGACAATTCTGAAGCGTGACAGAATGCAAATTAATTGTTGTCCTAAACTTCTATGTAATTGCTTTGCTATCCTGATTTATTTCATCTGAAAGTTTTGGCCGTGCCACAAAATATGGTTATAAATCTTTTATTTATTGCATTTGTAGAATAGATTGTGTTTGTTGTTTGGACTCATTATCACTGAAAGAATCTGTTTATCATCCCACCCTCCGTGCTCATAATTGTTCGCTAACTTCAGAATTTGGATACTCATGTAACACCAGCACATGGTGATTGATCTGAAATTTTTTTTCTTTTTCAGGAGAAGAAAAGCATCCGGCCTACGTATTCTGCTGAGCACATATTTGGTGGAACTCCCTTGGCAATGTGCTCAAATGATTTCATATGTTTTTATGATTGGGCTGACTCCAGGTTGATTCGACGTATCGATGTCAATGTCAAAGTACAGATGCCGAGACCTTTACTATTTGTTTCTTAAAATTTCTGCGTTTTTCTTTGAGATAATTTTCTTTTGGCTTTAACTTTTTCAGAATCTGAATTGGTCTGATAGTGGTGATTTGGTGGCCATAGCAAGTAACACATAATTCTACATTCTCAAATACAATGTAAGGCATTTTAATTTGTTTGTACTGTAATTTTGCTCAGTTTTGCTAAGTGTTTACTGTAAAGTTAATGTAATCTGGATTCGAATCTTGCAGCGGGATGTAGTTACTGCACATCTTGATAGTAGAAGGGCAGTTGATGATCAAGACGTTGTCAATGGAAGGAGTTGTATGGGCATCCTTTTCAATGACTGAATAAATTGAGGAACATGTGCTAACAGTTTTGCAGGGAGCTAACACTTGGCTAAGTTTCAGATAAACCACAAAACTGTAACAGAGAGAGGTAATTTTGAATGCCTGTCTTTCCACACCTTTCTTTAAGATTATATATTCAAACAGAACAAAAATTTGAACATAATAACTGGGAGATGGAGAGGTTACCCTTTCCATTGCCATTGGAGAGTGGAGAGACTCATGGGTTTGGCAAGCAAATCTTAGAAGCCTTCGCTGACCATAACTCCTTCAACCTGGTTACTGAAGATTGGCACTTTTGTCTTTTTGTTATCTTTTCTACTTTATTTTTTGGGTGAATTCTTTTGAGAGTCTTTTGGGTGAGAGTTTTCAACACTAAGCTACATGTATCTGCTTTCTTTCATGTTAGGAATTGTATGTTTTCTCATTCAGTTTTCTCCTGAAAATCTTCCCGGGGTGGTAATGATTTGTTGTATCATTAATTTGCAGGAGCCTGGCTCTTTACAGTGCTGGAGACCATCGCTGATCTTTGGGATGATATATTTGAAGATTCTTTTCTTCAGAGAATGAAAACTACTATTGATACAGGATTTCAGGGATTGACGCGGTGCAAGCAGTTCGTAATATTGCACAAAAGCCTGATAGTACTGATCTCCAGGCTTACCTGAATATACCTAATGCTGGTGGTGTTTGGTTCATTGAGCCGAATAGCAAACGGGTTGGGTCATCACAAAACCTTGAAGAGAATGATTTTCGCAGCTGTCTTAATGCCTATTTTGGGTTGGAAGTCAGCAGGATCAGAGATGCAGTAGACAGTAGCTGTGAAAGAGTTCTTGAGGACCTGCTAGTTTTTCTGGAATCTCCAAAGGCTTCTGCAAGGTTAAAGGATTTGGCTCCATATCTACAGGATAAATGTTTCAGAAGTATGTCAACCTTATTGGGAGATCTCAAGAGTGAATTAGACCTACTCGCTGGGGGACTGCAAAATGTGGATGACGGAAATGAGTCTGAACCACCAGCTATCATACTTTGTTCAGAATTCTCTATTCATTGGTAGACTGATGTATGCTTTTCAGAAGCACTCTAAGCATATACCTGTTGTACTTGGTTCACCAAGATTATGGGTGAATCAAATTGTTGCTGATATCCCTCTCAAGTCACCAGCTGCTTCCAGGTATTCTAGATCATCATTTGATTCCTATGTAAGTGAGCGTCCTGGAAAGAAAATGTTTGATTCTCCCGGAAGGCAAACTTCGTTCCTCATCTGCTTTGTTTGGATAGATGATAATACAAGATATCCACAACTTAAAGAGCTTATTAGCACCACTCAGGACCTTTGCTTTCGAGGTCATGGTTTGTGGATATCTTGGGTCTCTGATGAACTTTCAGACCCTATCATATAGGTTTCAGCTCCAGCAGAAAAAAGATCTTGGATGCGAAATTCACAAAAAGAGCTAGAGAGCACATAGATTATGGTGACACTGGCGGTTGAGCCAACAATACACAATACACAGCTAAAAGTGGGAAGGGACTTTTATTACACTATCGGAAATTTCACTATTTCAATTAAACAGGATCACAATTAACATAGCAAATGAGTCTCACAATAAATGCAAGGAGTTTTTTTTTGAAACGGATAAATGCAAGGAGTTGAAAGTAAAAAACTATTGAGGGAGACAATTAAGCAAACCAAAGAGATTGCCACACTTGCAACTCCTCATTGCTGCTAATTGATTTTAACTTTCTTATTTTTAAGTAATGTCATGTTTCCAGCAACAAACCTTCTTTCATAAGAAGGATCTAACATCAACCGATAAATAATAAGTAGGCAAGCCCTGTTTCCTACAACAAACCTTCTTTCATAGGAAGGTTCTAACATCAACATGATAATAAGTAGGCAAACCTGAAAACACAGCAACATAAATTCATGATAATAAGTAGGCAAACCCGAAAAAACAGCAACATAAATTCATGAGAAAGAAGTTGTAGCCTGTATGTATGAAAGATGCTGAAACATCATTGCATAATATACATAATTATAGAACACTTTTTTGGAATGCTTAAAAAAATCCACCAAGAAGAGATTTAACATAGAAATTCTGAATGTCATCAACATTTACAAATGAAGGAAACTTCAACATAGGTCAACGAAGGCAGAACCTTGTCTTAAACTGAAATATGAAAACATAGAGTGCTCTTAACGAAATTCGAAAATAGTTTAAAGTTGCGAAATGAATGGGAAATTGGTGGGGACAAAGATGAACTGCATTGCTTACTTTCTCTTGAACACTTTCTCTGTCTTCATAACACTCTTCCTCTTTGGCAAAGTCGACTTCACACTTTCTTCTCCAGATTCTTCAACAGTAGCGTCATTTATTTTAGTAGTGGATTATCTGCAGGAACATTGACCACTTCTTTGTTGTCTGGTGTAACATCTTCTTCATCACTGACCACCTTTTTCTTGATGGATGAGTTATCTTCTTCATCATCAACCACTTTGCTCTGGACAGGTGGAATATTCTCCATTTCTAAAACCAGTTCAGAGTCTACGACATCTCCATTGCTGGAAGAGGTAGTTCCCTGCAGTTGATTGCTATTAGAGATATCACAAAAATAATATGTGTTCATCACATTAAAATATCTAAGATCACTTGATTAAACATAATGAATCCAAATAGCTTAAATATATACAAATGAATAGCTTTCACGTATGTTTTGTGTTTAAAAACAGTACAAATTTAGTGCATAGATTTGAAGTATTATAACTTGATGAGTGGTGGTAAGTGACTGGTACTTGTTGATCCATTTTTCATCGTCCACAATACCAATTGCAGTATAAGTGCAAGAGTTGTGCACCACATTGAACTTGTTAATAGATACCTTGAATTTCATGGTTTTGCCAACCAAATCATTATTTCAGGTGGAAATGCTTCGTTGTTCCTATACTGTAAAATGAATTTAGAGTTTAATTAGCTTTGACGGAAAAATGATAAATAATAGCTGCAATTTTGAAATAGAACTGAATAATTTTTTTTTTTTATAAAAAAAAACCAACCTTGTCCCTCAATAGGTAGGCACTTTTTCCAATCAAATGAAACATATCTTTATCAAAGATTGTTACGATCATAATTCTAGTTCAATAAAAAACAACAACCTGAACTTTGAATCTAAAAAACGCGAAGGCATCACAGTAAAGCAATAGGTGGAAAAACTTTAGCCAAAAAAGAAGTTTAAAACTTAATATGCTGAAATGCATAATACCTGGGCAAAGCTGCAATGTTCTTAGTGTCACAGTGAGCACATTTAAACTCTACAACAGGAATTTGGCCATCCGCCAGAGGACCATCAGTTGGTATGACATCAAAAACAACCTTTCTATTGCATTTCTTGCAAGCAATGTAGAACCAATCATTATCTTGTATAATATGACAACAATATTAGCCACGGTAACACAGTGACAAGCCTGGTTTCAATAATTGCAAATTTATCAATAAATACAAGGCTAATATGTGGTGAAAATGTATATAAACAATATACTAACCTCCCCAATATTGTTGATGCCATCCACAGTCCTTAATTCAGCATCTTTCATAAAAGTTTCAAGAGCTCCATAAGATGTCATTATCGATAAGAGGGAGAGCGACTTTTCGGAATCTCCCTGGTTGTTTGAATTATCCATTCTGTTTACATGAATCATTAAATACTATGCAAAATGTGAAAATTTCACTTAAATAATTAGCAATTATGAATGTTGATGGATTATACCTTTCATTGAAATCTCTAATTGCATCCATATCACTATCGATGTAGATTTTGCCATTAAGCTTTGAGGTGGTGATGGACAATTGCCCTGCCAATTTCAACATTATAAGTAAACAAAGGATGTATCCATATCATATCGATGAAAGAAATATGAACTTCATATTAAAAATTGATTATACCATTCCATGTTCCATATTTCACAAACTGGACAATGAGTACGACATCGGTTTTATTTTCAGGCCCCAAGTAGTCTACAACGTGTTGAGCATGGTCATCCCATAAGAGTACCTTAATTTTCTCATTCCTGTTAAAGTTGAAATATTACATTAGAGCATACACACTTTATAATCAATTTTTTATTTGTATCATAAAAAGCAAAATATACTCAGCCGTACAAATTGACATAAGAAAGAAGAAAATCATCTTTTGCAGCATGAATTGGAAATCTGGTACTTTGGCCGAATACTTTATAAAATCAATGAAAATGGATTATGTTGAAGATATATAATTGACATGTAAGTAACTCTTCATACTATCATGGCAAGAAAAGGAGACATTTTTAGAGCTAGTGTGATTTCCAAAACCGCCAATCAAATTCATATATACAGTTGCATGGTTAAAAGAACTACAACAAAGGTAAAGGAAAAACAGGTTATGTAAAACACAATTCAATCTGCCATAAATCAAGGATCACATAAGTCCTTTGCACATGCACTTCATAATTTCATTTTCTTTCATTTAAAGAACAATCTGGATAACCTGACAACTAATTACATCACGATGATAAACTAAAACTAAGCTCTTAAGTTGAGGAAACAGAATTTCAGAAAACATGTAAAGATGAACTAACTCACTCCAAGTCTTGAAGTTCCACCAATACTTTCTTCTATTCCTTATCATCTTTAACCTCACATATGAGATCTCCTTTTGCGAAGATTCGGCCAATAAGATATGAAATTATCAGTCATTACAGTTAATAGATATCACATAAATAATATCCAAAAAATTGAAAGTTTGTGTATAAAATTAGAGAGGAAAGTCCATACCAACTAAGTAATCAGAATCATTTTTACCCTCCTTGATTTTCAAAAGGTTCAAAGTTGAATACGGGATAAGGGAAAATGTCGAAAGGATTAGCTACCTTCACATGTCTACTCCTGTACAATTGAATTTTCCAATTGTGTCTGGCTCTCCAAGAACCGTAATTCATAGTAACACCATAGTTGGAAATAAGTTTTGTATGTCCTTCTCGAATCATCGGTTCAAACTTGGATATGCTCTGTTTCTTTGCTTGTGCCTCGATGGTTGATCCCTACAAATTGTAAATTCAATCAAATCGATTAGAATTTTGGGCTTCATGTATATTTTAGTGGAAGAATACAATCAAAAAATTAAAAGAGAAGCCACAGTAAAGATAATTCAAGCTAACAAATTTAGGCAAATATGAAAGTGATAGGAAATACATTTCATCGAACATATTATGGTTATTGAAAAAAAAAACTCACAAATTTTGATACATGAACAACAGTTATGTCAATTCCTTCATAATTACAGAAAAAAAAGGTAAATTGACAAGCAAAACAGCAAGCACATAAACTCTTATAATAAAAAATTCCAATACCAGAGAGAAAAGATCAAAGAGACAGTACCTTGGAATCCACCAAAACCATTTCGATGGAGGTTGTTTCAGCAGGATTGAACTTATTAGTTGGTTTCCAAACTCTCATAACACGTACAAGTAAAGCTCCATTGTTTTCTGAGGATGTGATATCATCAATGAAAAACTTGTCACACGTCATAGCTCTTACTGGATTCATGGTGGTTTCTGAGTTTGATTTTTTCTCTAATGCAGCTAAACTTTTTGATGAAAAGACCAATGGAATCAGTATTTATAAGGAATCTCCACCTTCTATCTAATAGACCACGATCCAGAAATAGGTGTATTTCAATTCGGGAAATCAGGTGATCAATCATGTTGGAAGAAACGTGAGTGACTGGAGAGTATGGAGAGAAAAGAAAAGGAATCGTGGGGAGGCCGTTTTGCTGTGAATTTGGGGATGAGAATCAGCACTTAACTACAGTGGGGCAACTTATTGATCCAGTTGCGAAAGAGTGGAAAGCTGAATTGCTGGGCACTATACTACTGCCAGAAGAGGTGGATCAAGTACTGAAAATGCCACTTAGTAAGCTGGGAAATCAAAATATCCAAGTATGGGGTGCTGAACAAAATGGCAGATTTTCTGTAATTTCTGCATTCAAGGAAATTGAAAAACACAAAGCAGCTCAGAGAAGACAGGGGGAATCCAGCTATGGAAGCGAGGTGATGAAAAAGGTATGGTCTCGAACTTGGAAACTTGCAATTCAAAATAAGCTAAAGCACTTTGTGTGGAAGCTATTTAAGGGCTGGGTACCAGTTAATTCTGTACTTAAAAAGAGGGGGGTGAAAGTAGAAGAAATATGTTGCAGGTGTGGTATGGGGAATGAAAGTATAGAACATATGCTTTTTACTTGTGAATATGCCAAGTTATTTTGAGAGCTTTCCCCTGTTAAATACAAAAGTTCGGATCCACTTATCCAGTCAGGTGATAGATTCACTTTACTTTGCCATAATATCAGAACCAACCGATTTATTTAAAATATATATTTATCTATTGTACTTAATTAAAGCAGCATACAAGAAGGACATGTGTCAGTTTCACGTTGAAAATATTCCCGCCAAATACCCTTTCTAGTACAAAATGAAAATTGACATGTGACACTCTAGATTTGTAGAAAAAAATGGTTTAATGAGTCCAAAAATTATGATAAATGAATAAAAAGGAGAATCCACTCAAATCAGATTAACGCGTCCCCAATTTCCGGCGAAAGTTTGAAACCGTTTTTAAAATCATACATGCCTCTCTCTCAATCCAGATGAATTGGAAAATATCCAATTTCAAAAAATTCAATCTCAAATATCGGAAAACGATGATTCTCTTCTTCATCCTCTTCTTCTTCTTTGGCCAATCGGCCATATCATTACCATCATCATCCTCAATAAAAACGGATAATTCTCCAGCGCCTTCTATGGAGTAAGAGGGTTCAAGGCTTCCTCTTTCGCTTCCTCCCCAATCTCATAGATCGATGGCAATAAAAGCTTTTCTTCGAGAGTTGACATCAATTCCACGAGGTAATACATTCATGTAATTACTAAAAAGTTAGTATTTATAAGTGTCAAATTTCTGTTTCGATTCCGATGCATTACGTTTCGATGCAGATGCCACTGACACCAATATTCATAGTTCTTTGGCAAAATCCCCCCACATTGTTAGATCTCAGCAGTCCATGAATTATTTTTGTCTTTTGATACCTTTCAGGAGGAATTGTGATTATATGGTTTTGGTTTTTTTTTTTTTTTTCAGATGCAAATGTTACTGGTGGCGGTGGGAGATGCTAAAGAAGCTCTTAGTCATGGTGAGTACTCAAAGATCCCAAACGAGAAGGAATTTTGCTCCATCATCAAGGCCAGATCTGTTGAGTTCCAAAACATGCTTCCGTTGATATTCACCTATTATGGAGTTGTGGTTCTGCACTTGGCAGAAGTGAACTTAAAGGCTTCAAGGTAATTCTTTTGTGGGGTTTGGTTTTTTGTTTTGTTATACAAAAGAGAAAGGGTCTTATATTCGTATGTCTTCTCCATTAAAATTAGTCTAAATAACCAGCACCAATCATGAAATTAATTTTATTTTACTTGCAAAATAAATTATTCAAACTATGAGATGTATAATTTTAGTTGAATTTGGCTATGGATTGTGCTTGATGTCCAGAATGATGATGTGATGATGAAAAGAAAATGCAGTTTTGGCTACCATGCTTAGAAAGATGTTTCAGATACCAGCTCATAAGGATATATTTAATGAAGGATATATCATGAGGTTTTGATTTGGGTCCATAAGATCTCGAATTTGTGTCTGATTCCACCAGCAAAAACTTTGTTTTATTCTTAAGATGCTAAATTTCGCTTTGATTTCGAACAAGGAATGACACTTTTGACGTTATCGGCTTCAGTTCCTGGTCTGAAGCCAACATGTATTTCCAAAACTGAGTGCCATGCAACCAAAGCTCAGACAGTAGTTGCATTTGCTGCCCTCTATCTGGTTGCTTTATAAACAGGAGGAATCAAGCCCTGTGTCTCGTCCTATGGAGCAGATCAGTTCGATGATGCTGACGACGAGGAAAAACATCAGAAAAGTTCATTTTTCAATTGGTTTTACTTCAGCATCAATCTTGGAGCTCTGGTTGCTTCCTCTCTGCTGGTCTACATTCAAATCCATGTTGGCTGGGGATGGGGATTTGGCGTGCCTACTGCAGCCATGGCCATCGCCGTTGTTTCATTCTTTTCTGGTACCCAGATTTATAGGTATCAGAAACCTGGAGGGAGTCCCATGACTTGCCTCTGCCAGGTGGTGGTTGTATCGATTAGAAAAAATCATGTTGCCGTTCCAGCCGATGAGTCTCTTCTCTATGAAGCTCAAGATGAAAAAAACGCCATTGTAGGAAGCCGAAAAATCGAGCACACAACAGCCTTAAGGTATTTGTTCTGTTAAGAGATTCTGTTACATCTCCCCTGTTGCCAAATTAGAAATCCTAAATTCTTCCAATATTATATTTCCAATAATGTGTGATACTAATACATGAAATTTGCCTGTTCTGAATTTGCAGTTTCTTTGATAAAGCCGCAGTGGTGACAGATTATGATTATAAGAATGACTCAGAGATAGATAAATGGAGACTTTGTACTGTGACTCAAGTAGAAGGGCTTAAATCAATCATAAAGTTGCTTCCCATTTGGGCCACGGGTATTATCTTCAGCGCTGTTTTATGGCCAAATGGGCAACTTATTCGTTTCTCAAGCAACATTCATGGACACTCATGTCGGAAACACCAAATTCGAGATCCCCGAAGCTGCACTCAGTGTATTCGATACCCTCAGTGTCATCGTGTGGGTTCCAATCTACAACAAAATCATCACCCCATTCGCCCGAAAAGCCACAGGCCGGAAGAATGGCTTGACTCAGCTAAAACGTGTGGGAATCGGGCTCCTCATCTCCGTCTTAGCCATGGTTTCTGCAGCCATTTTGGAGATTGTAAGACTCGGCATAGTGAAAAGACATAACTTTTACGAGGTGAAACAAGTCCCGATTTCGGTATTCTGACAGGTTCCTCAATACTTCATCATCGGTTGCGCCGAAGTCTTCACATTCATCGGGCAGCTGGAGTTCCTTATGAACAAGCTCCTGATTTGATGAGGAGTTTGTGCTCTACCCTTTCGCTTACAACCACAGCACTTGGAAATTACCTCAGTTCTTTTCTAGTGTGGATTGTGACAGAGTACAGTACAAAGGGTAGCAAACCAGGATGGATTCCAGACAATTTGAACTATGGACATTTGGATTACTTATTCTGGATGTTGGCTGGTTTGAGTGTGCTGAATTTGGGAGCTTTCATCTTGGTTGCTCAAAAGTTCAAGTACAAAAAGGCAGTTGGCACTCTTTGCTGATTCAGTTAGATTAGATTAAAGTGTCCATACTGTGTAATTTTTATTGTTTATTTTTTTAATTGTCTTATAAATGTAATTGTAACCATTAGAATTGATGCACATCGCATTGATACACTATAATATAATCCATGCCTTGATCGTAAAACCTTAATATATGATTGTGTTGGATAACACTTTTACATGTTAATATGTTACCTCGATTGTATGATTGTGCTGGATAACACTTTTATATGTTAATGCATTGCCTCGACTGTAAACCTTAATATATGTCAATATGTCCCGGGCGAATAGAATTTTTGGTGAAGAACGACGATAGTGTTTGAAATTTTCTTGATGTGGTTACGAGAATGAGAAGGTTCGTGTCATAATAACAGAGGCATTAATTTTTGTCTTATAATTTGTTTTGTTCCATTTAATCAATTTAAAACACAGGCGGTCGCCTGGGCATTGACCCGGGCCAAGCATCTATTGTGTGTGTGTGTGTATATATATATATATATATATATATATATATATCCTATTAAAACAATAGTTCAAGCGAAAAAAAAGGTTGATGTGTCGCGTTCTCATGCATCCGTTTTCCCCCAACAAAAATTACGTAATTTTGTGAAAAAAATTAACTTTTACAATCTTTAATTGTGTTAACTTTTCTTGTCCTTAATTATAATCAATTAATATTAATAGAATACGACATTAATGATATAAATAAATGATTTTTTATTATTTCTAAAATTTAAAACATAACAAGTTGAGTTAAAGTTGAAAAATACTTTTACTATTTGTATATTTAATTTTAAAATATATTGTTATAAATGGGCCAGACGGCCAAGCAGCTAGTATATATAGATAATCGAACTGTAAAAGGTGGTTAAGAATCGAGAACCACCCATATTTCTCCTCGGCCAATTGTGAATTATTCTATACTCCTGAGAAGCAAATGTTCTCTCTATTCTAATGAACAATAAAAATTTGAATGAACAAAAACATTCCTTCGCATGTGTAGAGATAAACTGCTCATATATAATTGAAAGATTAGTAAAACAATAACAACCATAATTAATTTTGTGTCTTCAGTGACTATACATTTGTTTCGACTAAGAATCCCATACTGTACATATGTTTCTATTTAGTTCGAACGTTATATTTGACCCTACAATGATCTCTTTAGTTCAAAAAGAGATTCACCTATTGTCATTTGTTTTAGTTGAAGTTTTTGATATGATACGGTAATACTCAGTTGTTAAAGCGATTCTTTGCTATATAGCACCAAAAATGCTG